ATTTTCATAAAATCTAACATTCCTATTGATGTAAATTCTGCTGGTAAGCGAATCAAGACAACAGTAACCTTTATACTCAGGAGCATAACCAAGAAAACACATAAAGCAGATCTTGGGGAAAGTTTATTGGCAGAAGTGACATTGAAATTGGGAAAGCAAGCACACCCAAATACACGCATAAAAAGAAGTCCGGAGTGTGGTGAAATAATTTTTCAAAAGGAGATGTACCATTAAAATTCTACAGTATTTTGCAAGTCCAATAGCCGCGCGCCTCTGCCTGAATGTGGAAGTAGTTTTTTTTTTATCGTGAATGTGGAAGTAGTTGATTTAATTATAAATTCTGTATTAAACAATTAAGTTGTACAAGGACATATTAGTGTCCATTTCTACATACTTCACTCCTAGTTTTAGAATTCAGATATTATATTCCTGTTTAGGGATATTGTCTACATTTACTCTTATTTACCAAAAAAAACTTTACAAGAACTTAATGCATGTTTATTAGTAAGAATCGAATCTCCACATTTTCCCATATTAACTAATCCTGCATTGAATCATACTTTATTCAGTTTATTGTGAAAACATATAAAAGGTGTTTAATATGAAATTTTCATATTGGGTTTGCGGGAGTGAATGATCGATGATATTTTCACTTGCAATTATATTTTTAAACTTGGTTGATTTCAACTGTTCTTGGTTGATTTCTAACTGTTCTAATCTAGTCTGAATCTTATTTGAACCCGTGTAATTTGATTTTTTTTTTATGTAGAGTCACGTTAGGTCTTAGTTGCTATAGTCTGGTGTCATATGATATTCTATGTATGAATTGTTGTATTTAGGGGTGGAAATAGGCCGGGCGGCCTGTTAGGAGCCTGTGGTCTGACCAGGGCCGTCTAATGAATTTGAAGACCCCGGTTATAAATGGCAAATTGAGGCCCCCTAAGACAAGAAAAAATATAAAATTTAACAATGAAATACAAATAGTCTAGTAGTCTAGACAATTCGATGAAATATAAGTTTTATGATGTTTAAAGTCTACAAATTGGAGAATTTGAATGTCATATGCCTTTTGGAATCTTGAATAATACATGACATCTAGATAAATCAATCTATAACTAATACTACAATCTAAATTTTTGGAGGCCCTTTACAAGAGTGGGTCTCGGTGCCAAACACCTATTGCACCTCCTAAAAGACGGCCTTGGGTATGACCTGTTAAAAGTCTGACCTGACCTGGCCTGTTTAGTAATCAAACTAGACTTGGGCTATTTAAAAAGCTCGTTTATCTAAATAGGCTAGAACTAGCCCAACTCGGAAGCCTTTTTAACTTAACAAGCCTTTTTAACTTAACAGCCTTGTGTGTGTGTGTATATTTAGTTATATTTATATTTATTTATATTATTTACATTTATATTTATATTGGTATACTTAACAAAAGCAAATTCGGCTTAATAGTATTTTTATGGAGTGTGCATTATAAATTAGAATAGAATATATTTTAAATATATATGAAGTGTGTTAATAGTTTATTACGATAATTGAAATTTAAGTTTTTCAAGATTTTTATTACATAGAAATTTATTTTCACTACATATAAATGTATTATTAGACATCCAAAGCAAAACTAACGTCTAATTAGACTTTTTAGTGAATATTTAGGGGAATACCGGGTTAAAAAGGTTTTTCACTGTTTATTTTTATTTTTTTGAAATTTTGTTTTTTTCTTAACAGGCCCAGTAAACAGGCTTCAGGCCAGACCAGGCTCAAACCGAAAAACCATGCCTTTAAAAGGTAACAGGCCAGGCTTAGACCTATACATTCTAAAGGGTGATTCTATATACATTCACCGTTTTACTAACCACACACACAAATATTCGGATAAGATAAATTTGTTTTTATAATTCCTACTCTACCCTTATTAGTAAACGCAGCCTACAAGTCCTTGAACTTTCCAGAACGAATGAGGAAGAACCGATCGAAAAAACTCTAGCACATTTCGAGAAAGCTAGCAAGTGAACAATGCGCGATTCCTTAAATTCATTCAATTCCACGGTGGTCTTTGCTTAATTCAAACTGCAAGAAATGATGTGAAGGTCGTCGATCTTCCCCCCATCGTCGCATCCTGTGACTTTTATATTTCCTTCAACACACCATGGATGGTATTATGGTAATGGTAAGTGTTTGTCGTTTACTTCGTTTCAACTTCCCTGGTTTTAGATACTTCATCTTTATTGCTTTATATATGTTTTTCTAGACACTTGTAAATTTGTATTCATGTATTGCTCGAGATTTTTGGTTGATAGGTTCCTCATCTGAATTTCTTTCTTTGTTATATTCAGAGGGGCTAGCTGTTTTTTTAAGTTTTGAGCTTTAAGTTTAGTTTTGAATAGTTTAGCGTCATCTAAGCATCTCAAGTATGATATTTCATTAGTAACTTTACTTGCTTAATTATATGTCAGCATTTGATTATTATTTGTGCTGCAGAACATCGTCTCAAAGAACAAGTCAAAATTATCAAAATCAAACAAGGAACTGAATATCATGCTGAAATTGAAGGCTATGCTCTGCATACTGCGCCAACACCAACTCCAAATATACCCCAAGTTGTGTGTTAATTGTACTACGTATATTATGATACTGTAATTGTAATAGGTTTCTCACATTATGATATTGTAACTCTAATATGTATATCAATTACGTTGTTATTGAGCTCATAATTGATGCAAGGTAATAATTTATCTCATTCAACCCTAAAGAGCGTGTGATATTAATAGCATACTAACCTAGAGATTTGGAGGATGAATTTCGTACGATTGGAAGCGCACGGGTTTCAGAGCGTTACATGGGGTTGCGTTGAATGAGCGACGCAAAGCTTTCTGCGTTTAAAAGAGTAGGAAAGTAGGAAACGGCTCTGCAAGAGGAGGGCAACTTAGACATTTGAGTTATTTTAATTTATTAATAATTAAATAAGTGGCTGTGGATAGTAATTAGGGGGCTGTTAATAGAATTACCCCATTCTAAAACATGTCCGACCTGTTTAGGAAAGGCTGGCCTGGCCTGTTTCCACCCCTAGTTGTATTAGCTAAGCATGTAACATCCGGTCCAGTATAACTAGTCTATTTTGGAATGAGCGAGTTTATGTCGATGCTTGTCCGGTCTAGTGCATTTAGGGCCAGTCAAGTTTGACCCTGTCTAGTCTTATACGACCTTGTGTTATGTGAGACTGAAATGATAGAGTCCAAGTGAAAATAATGTTAAATTAGAGTCTTGTGATCGGATATGATCTCTCATCTATTAGTTTGTTTATGACTGGCATACTTAGCCCTCATACCTGCGGCGCGGGAGTCCATACAAGCATTGAAGGAAACACCAGCAGTGTGAGAGGTAATCTCTAGCAGTTGTCCGAGGTTCCCTAATCAATTCGAGATTGTCACACCAAAGGCATCACTAAAGATGAGTTTTTGCATTAATTGAAAGCAAATCCTTTGAAAGCATGTAATCACATCCATGCATGATGGATCTTGAATTGGCTAGGGCTGCTTGGGTACTAGATTTCTTTGGAGGATTTATTTGAATTAATGAGAAAGGACATGATTCATCATTTATATCCTTGTAGGACAAAATATACATGGAAGGAACTCTTTAAAATACTATTAAACAAATTATTACTCCAATTCAGATATACATATTCCTATTGTTTTTTATTTTTGGGTGTTCATGTGAACACCCTTGCATAAAGGACATCCACCACTGCAAGGAACTACAATCACTACGACCGAGATGCAGTACCCATGCACCTCGGCCGACAGAGAAAATTTGGCCAGAGATCAACCAAGGAATGACACGCGTCACACTCTCCAACACCCCATGACTCTCTCCCATAGAATAGTCGATACATGTAGTGCATTTAATGCACTGACTCATTTATTACTACTATAAATTAAAAAAAAAACCTTGCGGCAGATGTAAAGGATTGGAACTTCATTTATTACGATATCTTTCTTTCTCTAAAATTTGCTCTCCCTCTATAATACCGACCACCAACAGTTTACCAGAAAGCTATCAGTACTCTTGAATTTGATGGGTTTGAAAATCTTAAAGAATTCTTTCAGGCTACATTGACAAATGGGGTAGAATACTCTCATTTTTTGCTTTTCGAATTTGAGAGACTCATTGCCTCTGCTTTCAGTAATCACGATATTTTGACTTTGGACTATTAATTGCTAATTCTATTGTATTTTCAAAGTACTATACTTCTCCTCTGTCTCATAATTAAAGTCTGAGTTTGGCTTTAGAGGTGTCTAGGTTGATGTTTGACCGGAATTATTTATAAATAAATGTACGGTATTACACAAATGATCTATAATAAATTAACATTTGAATAATACATATTCCAATGAAGCACATAAAATTGATTTTGTATGATACAATATTGTTAGTTTTGAGTAATTAAGGATCAAAATTTAAAAAATTTGACTCAAAAGTCAAACTGATCGAGATTTTAACTGGGGATCGGATGTAGGAAGTGTATTTTATCCACACGATCAATTAGAATAAAGTGAAAACTTGCAATTTGCAATATAAATAAATGATTAAGTAATGACATAAACCAGTAATATGCATGATAATTGATAAGTATTGTATTCTAGTTATTTGTGGGTATAGTACCATAATTTAAAAGAATGTGAGACAAGAAGTGTGACCTCAGCTCCTTTTATTAGTTTTATATTTTAAACTTGGTGATTTATAGAGTATATATGCAAAAGACAAGAGGGGAAATAATTAGAAGTGAGAAGGAAATGACGTCATGGATGGATGAATAGGGACGACAAAGCATGAAAACCATGCATGCGCAATTGATGATCCAGTGCCCCTAAATCCCTTTTTCATTTTCTCCCCCTTTCTCTTTCACCCCTCACTATCCCTATTGCCTTTTCCCAGCTAGTCTCCTTTAATCCCCTTGCCTGGTCTGCCCTTTTCAAAACCCTCTCTATATAATTATATATCATGCTGGCCTCCAAATGCAAATTACCCCAAATCATCCTGCTCTACATTCTCACTTCTTCTTCCTTCTAAACCTCTTCCATCCATTGGATTCTACTGTATATTCCCCCAAATTAAAAGAGGTTACCATTTTACTATTCAAAGTTGGATTGATCGATCCAGCCATATTCATTCCACTCATCTCTTCACCACCCAGTAATTAACAAGCTGCTAAGCTAAGTCGGATTCGCCTCCTCGCACGGGTAAGTTTTAATTAACTTTCTAGACCATATACCCTATAAATTTTTCATCTTTCATTTTTGTTATTTGTATTTGTCTGTACAAATCTCAACAACGCAACTGTTATTTTATTATTTCTTGTGTCGGTCAAATTTGACAAAGCTATATACAAACGAAATATATATTTGTATGACTATATAGCTTCAAGTGAACATTTGAACACCCCTCGATCATCAATATATACTCATAATTAATGTGTCACGTTTTCCTGGTCATTCAATTCACATAAGATTTCTGTCGGATATATGTGAGTGGGGATGGGAAATGCTAATGTTTTTTTTAGAATTACTAATTAATTAATGTTGTTGTCTAGCGCATTTCCTTAGTTGTGTGATTCTAGTCCGCAAGCGGTTTGTATACAGAGTATATACTGTATTATAGAACAACAATATAAACTATCCATCCATTTTAAACTTAAATTCCCACATTGACCCTAATTGTCAATGCTTGACCACCACTAATTAATTTAGAACTATATATACACACTTATAAAATATATAAATCTAATGCCTAGCATTATAAAAACCATTCAATAGTATTTTCATGTATTTTCAATGCTTAAAAGTCGAATTTTTACAAGCTTTATGTCAAAAGTCGAACGGTAATGATAGTAACAATAATTATTGTTATAGTAATGAATTACTCCGTAAGAAGGATGAGACGAAGAGGAAGATGATGGTTGGTGTGTGATGCATTGGGAACAAAGAGACACAAGAGTCAGAGATGTAGTCTCTCTACTCTACCTAGCTCCTCCCTTTGGTTGGAATTATCAAAGTGATGGTCTCCACTTCAACTCCCTAAACACACAAACACATGTCAACCCCTAATTTTCAACCCCTTACTTTTTCTATAATACTCCCTCCGTCCCGAAATAAATGTCCTGCTTTTTTTTTTTTTTTTTTTTTTTTAAGAAAAGAAAATAAAGCTAAGAAAAGAAAATAAAGTAAATAAAAACGAACAAATAAGAGAGATGCCCAACCCAGAGTAAGAAAAAACCCTCCTTAAAAACCCGGTGTAAAAAACCACAACCCTCAGAATAGTCTTCAAAGACCCGCTCGTGCTTGAGATCTTGTCCTCATAAGATGTGATCTCTGATTCTTCTTTTTGTACATTCTCTTTTGAGTATTCAAGTTTTGAGTGGGTAAACAATTTTCTCGTGTAACAAGCAATGCTTTTTGACAAATAACCTCATTTGCATCATAGTCCCAAAGATCACTCACCGTCGAAATAGGAACCCTCTTCTCATTTTCTGAGACATGACCAAGGAATTCATCACCTGAAAGAGTAGAGCATGATTCTCCAAAAGCCTTTTCGAACTCATCATTGTCAGTGAAACCTGTATTTGCATAGTCCCAATCAGAAACCGCAAGATCACTTAAAGCATTGTAATCCCCTCCTTTCTCATTCTTATCAACATGCTCCGAATTCTTCTGTGTCCTAGAAGATTTCCCTTCAATAGTGGCTTTCAATCTCAAACTGTCAAGGTTATCCAAAGTAGAGACGAGAAGTCTCTCAAATTCACGGAGTAGAAAATGAGAGAGTGATTCCACCCCATTTGTTAAGGTTGCCTGAAAGAATTCCTTAAGATTTTCAACAGAATCGGGAGTATGTTTAACGCCCTGCACCTCATCTAAAGTAACCAAATCCAAAGAATGATGGGAAGAATTTAAAAATTCAATATCAGCTTGTAGTAAAGCGCCCGAAATGGAAGTTTCGGGTTCATAGTTATTCCCATTAGGCAAAAATTCTAATACATTATTGCCAATCATCTCATCATTCTTACTTGAAATAAGTTCAACTGCTAATGTTTTTTCACCTATTTCCTTCAACAAATCAATTGCCCTTGTAATTCCTTTAAGAAAAAGATCAATCCCTTGTCCATTCCGTCCCTCTGGAATAAATAAAGAATCTTTTCCCTTTTCAATGATTCGGATAAAGCCACCAAAGTGATTTGCATCATAGAGAACTATAAGTGATTTATTCAGCTCTAATTTAATGGAAGACCTGTTATCACCAAAAATCTTGAGCATGGAGCTCTTTAACCATGTAATCCCAGTAACATCAAAATCAATTGCAGAGGTAATTCCTTTCTTTGTTTCTGAAATACGAAGCTTATTGCAGTCCAGAACTTTAAATTGGAAAAATTTACTTTCAATCAAGACAGCAAACTTATCTGTCCCAAAGTTTCGTCCCGTTTCTGCCTGATTCAACAACTGCTTCCCACACACCAAGTCACTTGTGTTTCTCTGTTGTGGTTTTGAAGATTTCCGAACCCACCGTTTCCGAGGCCACATCCGGGGACGACCTCCAAACCATGAATCATGAGTCCGCCCAGCAAAGTCTTGTTCGCAGTTCTGCAGAAAGGGCCGCCGCGCCTGGTAGCCGGAGAAGACCGCGTCTCAAAATAAATGTCCCACTTTTTTAACTTCCTTATTTGGCAAACAAATCTATATCAAACAGTGCAAAACAGTGTCGCCACAGTGCTAAACAGTGCCAAACAGTGTGCAGTCAAATTCATTTTCTTAATCTGTGTCAAAGTCAAAGCGGGGCGTTTATTTCGGGACGGAGGGAGTAATTTTTACCTCATTTCATTTTTCATCTGTTCCATAAATTTTGTCTAATTTCATACTCGGTATTTGATAATGTTTGTGCAATTCAAGCATATTCATAGCCGATATGGATATCTGTCCGGTTGTGCTATTTTTATTCTTCCAAGTGATATACTCTAATACTCCTTCCATTCCAAAGTAACAAACTTGTGTTTTATGGTATTTCTCGCTCTTCTATTTAAATTTCAACTATATATCTTTTACTTTATTATTCAATGTGTAAGTCAAAGTTGGTCAACTTTCGAGTATACACTATAAAACGCTTATTTTTTTATTGTGAAGCCCTATTCTTTTTACAATGAACAAGTCAATATAAAAAAACATTCATAATTTAAAGCCCTATTCATAATTTTTCAAGCCTCGAACTTGAAAAAAAATGTCAAATAAGGCCATATTTAGGATGCTCTGTCCGGCCGACGCCATTTGGGGTGGTTCCCGGTGGAATTTTTTGATGAAATTTTTTGAGAATCTTATTCATTAAGTCTAGTTTACTCATATCAAATTTGAACTAACAATTCAATCGGGAAGGCATTCAAATGAATTCATGAAGATAACTGCGCTTTTAACGGTACAGTTATCTTCAAGAATTCATTTGAATGTCTTCCAGATTAAAGTTTTAGTTCAAATTTGATATGAGTAAACTAGACTTAATGAATAAGATTCTCAAAAAATTTCATCAAAAAATTCTACACGGAACCACCCCAAATGGCGTCGGCCGGACAGAGCATCCTAAATATGGCCTTATTTGACATTTTTTTTCAAGTTCGAGACCCTATCTGACCCTTATCTCTAATTTGTTTTATTTTCTTGTTCAAGCAGCACAAGTAACAGTGCAATAGGCAGACAGCCTGACTTTGGTCTAATAAAACCCGAACATATATACACACTAGCGAGCTTTTAGATCTTTTTTCCCTTCTCTTTTTCCAACTGTCGCGTGCCCAATTACTGATTGCGTCACCCTTTCTTGTCCTATTCCTGTCCCACGCCACTAATATATCAGTCTTCCACTATCACTAATTAATTAATCAATTAATTAACTATTTACTTATTTGTCTATTATTACTCCGTATTTATTTACTTAGTTATTTATAAAATACACCTAAAAGTGTTAACAAATAACATTGGAAAGTGGATGTGTATTGTTAGAAAAAATATATAGACATATATGATTATTATACTAATAGTATTGTAAAAAGACAACAACAAAAAAAAACTAATAGTAAAAACTTTAAATGTCTATTGGTCTATTTTTCTTTAAATTCTTGTAATAACATTTGTATAGGATAAATGCTTCTAGAGCTTTTCGTTCGGCCACGAGCTAGCTAGACAACATAATTTGCAAAACCACTAATTAACCTTTACTTACCTTTTAATCACTTGCCAGTGTCCTTTGATGATCTGTTCTGGCTTGGACATCATTTCATATATATGGCCTGCCCAAAATGACTATAGCTTAATTATCTAATGAAATGTTTGGATTATAGCTAGCTTAATTAGATCTCTTGGTTTTCATCAAACCAAATAGTAAGATAAGAGTATATATCACTAAATGCTTTTCATGTTATGCTCCATTCTGTTCATCTCCTTTCTTTGTTGTAATCCCACACCGACCCACCATTTTAGAAGTCACTTTTCGGTTATTATTTTTGCAAGAACAAATAATGCTCAGATCCAACAAAAACGCGTTTACCTCACTCACTCTTTGCATCATTTTCTTCTTCATCTCTATTGGTGGTTACTTAAAAAGTGGTAAAGAGTAGATTCCTATTATAAAATAAAATTCCCTCTAGCCTCGATCTATTCTAGAATTTCTTTTCAGTTTCTTTATTTAGATATTTAAAATGATTTTAATTTCCATAAAAAGAAATTTTTAAATCAGAGAATACTCTATAATTACTTTTTTTTCTTACCTTTTGTCTTATTTGATTTATAGTTGTTAAGACCCCGGAATTCAGCGGCGGACGCAGGATTTCCCGATAGCAGGGGCGGCAGTAGAAGAATATACATACAAATACATATATATTAAAAATTTCGGGGTAAATATACCTAGAATTTTTTTTTTTCGGAGGGGCGGCAGCCCCTCATTGCCCCCCTTTGTGTCCGCCGCTGCCGGAATTCATCCTAAAAGGTTTTACCTCAATCATGCCGCCATTCTTTTTTTTCGTCGATTGTCATTGCATTGTCATTTTTTATAAGCGTGGTGTCATATTTTTCATAAGGGCCCACATCATGGTTATGGATCGATTTAGGTTTTATACCATGTTAAGATGCGATGTTCCGTCCTAAAAGGTCAACATGATAAGAGGAGGAACCCATATCTTAACATGGTGTATAGTTGTTGTAGAGATATCCAGTGTGGGATAACCAGAGTAAAATAGGGATTACATTGCATAAACATACCTACATAAATACTACTTTAGTAAGTAGTAAAGTAGTCGTGAAATCATTTATGAGACGGAGAGAGTACATTTTATTAAAAAATAAAGACCAATTTATTTATATGTATACAGCTATACACACAAACACATGTATATTAAAAAGAGGTGATATGATGAGGGTTGCTGGCCACCAAACAGGTTGTTGATTATATATACCTCAACATACTTAGTTGATACCTTTCCTTTTGTAGGGTTCATAGTTCTCTTCAACTCTGATGATCTTCACTTTAAGTTTTAGGCCTTCAACATATATGCTCTCTCTCTCTTTCTCTCTGATCTGCCTCCATTTTCCCATTCTATAGGTACACAAACTACTAAAAAAATATTTCACTTAGTTTCCAAATGATATATATTGCATATACATGATGATCCAAATTGCATATAACATGATGGTTAGATATATATTGAGTGGTTTATATACGAGTCATCTGCAAATTGTATGGATGTGAAATAACAATATTTTTTTTATAACAAGGTTTAATATAATTGATGCAGATCAGACTAGATCAGAGAGGATCTAGCAAAGAACCACCCAGAATAGATATCATGGATACAGATCATCAGCATGAATCATGCACAGTACCTCCAGGATTCAGATTCCACCCCACAGATGAAGAGCTGGTGGGGTACTATCTGAGGAAGAAAGTTGCATCCCAGAAGATTGATCTGGACGTTATAAGAGACATAGATCTCTACAGGATCGAGCCTTGGGATCTCCAAGGTATTTGTTCTTAGCTAAACTGCTAGCTAGCTAGGGTTTCTGTTTCTTGATGAACTAGGTATAGAACTAATTATTGAGATGATATAAAAATGAGCAGAAAAATGTGGGATAGGGTATGAAGAGCAAAACGAGTGGTACTTTTTCAGCCACAAGGACAAGAAGTACCCGACGGGGACGAGGACGAACCGGGCCACCATAGCCGGGTTCTGGAAGGCAACCGGGAGAGACAAGGCCGTGTATGATAAATCCAAACTCATTGGGATGAGGAAAACCCTGGTTTTCTACAAAGGCCGGGCTCCTAATGGTCAGAAATCTGATTGGATTATGCATGAGTACAGACTTGAATCTGAAGAGAATGCTCCTCCTCAGGCAAGTTTTATTAATTTCTCGTTCTGTAATAAATTACTTATATTGTTACCCCATGCGTGCCAATTCCTTCTTTCTTATTTATATCTCATCATCTATGTATTTATTTATTATAATAAAAAGAAATCTCATCATTTATTTAGTTTTTCTGCCATTTTACCCACTAAAAAAATTCCATATACTATTAGTGTGCGGGTTTTAATTAGATCCCTTCACTAAAAAACCTTTAAAGAACAGTTTTTTGAACGAACCTTTAAAGAACATTATATGTTATCAATTAAATAAGTATGTACTGTAGTATATTAATCCGTATATTTTTCCTCTATTTTTTAGCATTTCCGACGATATGTGAAATACTTGTTGAATTACTAAATGATCAAGTATACTGAACACTTCTTTATCTTTTTTTAATCACTAATTTGAACATCTTAATTCTACTTGATTATTTCTATTTTATATATTTATTTTAATAAATAATAATAATAATAATAATAATAATAATAATAATAATAATAATAATAATAATAATAATAATAATAATAATAATAACAATAATAACAAGAATTATAATAATTATAAATTAAAATCAACAACAACAATAATAAAAATCACACCACACTTAATAATAATTAATATGGCCACATTCAGTGACCACATTCAGTGGCAACAATAATTAATATGGCCACATTCAGTGGCGGCGTAGCCATGGGCATATACTGGGCTGAGCTACTTAAAGAGTTTTTATGATAAATTTTTATAGGAAGTTTTTATACTAATAACGAAATACGGAGTATTTGTTTTTAAAATATGAAATGAAATACGCTGTGGCCTAGCATGGCCCCTAACTCGCCTGTGGTCACTTCTTTCGAAATTTAAGTACTATTTTCTGAACGAATTGAGTTAATCTGATCTGAGTTAATCTTAATTTTCTGAAATGAGTTAATCTTAATTGTTTATACATATTTAGTACCCTTTTCATATCACTAAACTTAACCAATTTTCTTTATTTAATTTTTCTAAGACTTTTGCCATTTTTCTTTAAGGTAACACGTTTATGGCTAATGTTATTTATTTCACCTTTTACAACTCAACCGCATTGAATAAGTATAATAAATCACATAAATTAATGAAACTAGATTAAGTAATAAATTTAGAAAGGAGAGGAAAGTAAAGATGAATCCTAGTAGCTCGAAGTCAAATGAAAAGACAGTTGACTTTTAAAGAAAACAGTGTTCAACGTTGTAGCTTTAATGTTCAGGCTAGATATTAGGCATTGAGGATCATCCAGTACTCATGAGTTCAGCCTTTCAAGTGACAAAAAGAACCCACAAATCATCTCCTTCCTCCACGCCTTTGGGATTTGACTATTTCGCTACATACATACACACTTAAATGACTTGATAAACCGAAGATTAGTCCAAAGTAATTATTAATGTATAAACACCTTTAAAATTATAACTTTAGCTAATCAGATGAACTTAATTTCTACCACCTCCGTCCCATTTATATTAATTGATAAAGTAAAAATAAAGTAAGAATGATTTTGAGTCACACAAACTTTATCAAATATGGTATGAGACAATTTAAGTGGGACTTCCCAAAAAGGTAAAACGAGACAATATAAATGGAACAGAGAGAGTAGTTTTTTTTAACTCGTAAAATAAAAAATGGTTCCGTAGGCACTAATTGGTAAAAATGTTAAAAAATGTATCAAGATTTTCTAATTATCGAAATTTCAGTAATAAAAAATTATCTCAAACTAAAAATTTTATCAAGATTTTATAAGTCCATGCAATCCTATCATCCACAACTCAGTGAACTCACATGATAGTATATTACGATATTATATGCTACATAAATAAATTCAATTGTATTAATACTTAGTCTTTGCGGAAAATAATACGAGTATATCATTTTAGGAATTTATAAATATATATATATATATATATATTTATGTACTTATATATATATTTCCATATTCACTTTTTATAGAAATTTCTCACATAGTTTGAAAAAATAGAAGAGCGGTGTTGAGCTTTAATACAGGAAAAAAGTACGGAGTGTGTGTATATATATATATATATATATACTCCGTGTATATATATATATTAGTAACATTTTATAATATTTACCCGTATGCATTTTCGTAGCATAAAAAAATCTTTTATTTTTAAAAAAATCTTAAAAATTGTTATGTCAATCATTTAACTATAATCTTTTAAAGACTTTTTGAATAGTACAAAACTAGAAGGTAGGAATTTATGCATACAAAAAAACGTAGTATAAGTTTTTAGTAGCTGAAAAGCTCCTAAACGAAAAGATCATTATTGCTTGATAAAAGTTGACTGTACTGTTGTTCTGTTTGATTAATGAATTAGTGTGACTAGCTAATTATGAATGCTAAATGCAGTACACTTTGCCTAACAAGCTATTCAGAGTAGCGTTTCAAAACAAAATCGTAAATCTAAACACTACAAGAAAAGTGCACATAGACCGTACATAGACTAATTTTTTTTTTGCGATGGCCGCATAACTGTCGTTAAAAACACCATTAATCACACATTTTTTATTTACCACATACAAAACTGTGGTAAAAGGTCAGAGACAACAGTTTTTAACCGTGGCCAATGTGTTTACCACGGCTGTTGTGGCGACGCACGTAAAACTGACGCAAAACTGTCGTAAATGTTCCTTCTTACGTTTTTAATTACGACAGTTTTGCGACAGTTTTACGTGCGTCGGCACAACAGCTATGGTAAAAACATTGGCCACGGTTAAAAACTGTTGTCTCAAAGCTTTTACTGCATTTTTGTGTGTGGTAAATAAAAAAATGTGTGGTTAATGGTGTTTTTAACGACAGTTATGCTGCTATCACAAAAAAAAATGTGGTCCATGTGCAGTCTATGTGCATTTTTTTTGTAGTGAAAGCAATTCGAAATTAAAGTGTTGTGCGTAGTACTCTCTCCATTACACAATCAAAGTCATACTTTTTGATTTCACAAAGAGGATTTTTTTACAAGTAAGTTTTACTGCAGAGTACAATGTTTTGACACTGTTTGACACTGTTTTGTACCGTATTGATATATATTTCTTTCCTAAATGGGAAGTAATTGGAAGTGTGACTTTTATTTTGACACATCCAAAAAATGAAAGTGTGACTTTGATTACGGATGGAGTATAAATTACGAAACTTTAGCGATTTTCAAGATAGTATAAGAGCTTAAACAACTGAAAAACTATGGAGTTAGGCACTCAAACAAAAAAGGGAGAACAATCTTAAAAGAATCTAGAGCTTAAACAACTGAAAAACTAATTCAGAACAGAATTATATGCAATAGCAGCATTCTCTTCACAAGAGTTGAAGTAATTAATTAAGTGAAAACATCTGATCATTTAATAAATTGTTGAAGATATCCATTAGTTTTTAAGTATTACAACTTTTAATCCAGAGTAATTTAAGGATATACTATCGTATATACTCCGTATAAGGAAAAAGCTCATTTACTATTTCTTACTACTATAGTCATGGTAATTAAATGACTGCTTATTTATCGACAAATTAAAATGTATGTCCTTAAATTAAATTTAGTTAAGAAAGCTGGGAAGAAGTTTCTATCTACGCGGGTTAGTTAAGAGAAAGTTATTAATTACTAGTACGTAATATTTTTAGTTATGTCTTACTGTACGGCAATACGAGTATGATACTATGATATGCATAAAAAGCATTGAAAATACTTCTTCTATCACCGTAGTTGGGGTATGTCTAGTACAACTAGCTGAAAAGATACTTTTTTAGAGCTTTTTAGTAGTTGTCAGCATTTAATGCTTCAAAAGATCTTAAAACAAAAAGGTGTTAGTTGTTTGATAAAAAACATATTGTTTGATTTAGTTTCGTTTGCTATAAAAGCTATTGTGACTAATGACAAAAAAGCTCATTTTTAGATGCTACTCAGTGTAGCTTCTAAAAAAGATCTTTTATTTAAAAAAAACTTTTAAAAGTTATCGTATGGATCAAACATACAAATAGAGGTTTTTAGAGACTTTTTGAGTAGTAGAAAAAAGGGATATACTTCGTATCAGGGGCGGATTCACCATGTAATCAATGGGGGCACATGCCCCCAATAAAATTCATAACTTTAGTGTAATATGAATATGTATTATTAACAAACGAAGGTAGTGCCCCCAATCCAAAAACTTGATGCCCCCATTAATTTATACGGACTCAAATACAGAGTATAGAGAATTGGTGTTCAAAGCAGCAAATGTGGAGTACACTCGGCAAGCCCACCCCGATGTCCCATCTAATTTATAATTTTAAAATATTTAATTTAGTGATATGATCTAACTCCAACTATTCGACATACTCTTGGACAGTTAAAACAGTATCCACAACATATTCACCGTCCAAAATTAATTTGTTCATTTTTAAGAAGAAAGTTAAAAAGTTTTTTTTTATCGTAAGAAATTTAAAGGGAAAATGGAAACTAATAATCAAATATTTTAGCGGTCTTCTTATAATAGCCTCACCTTTTCGTTATTCATAAATAATCCAACTTTTGCACCTCATCTTCATTCATTGGTCCCTGATCGGTTGATGACCCGCTATTACAAGTTATTTTCTTATCTTTGCAAACCATTATACCATAAATCTCACCTTTCACAAAGATAATATTTTGCATAGATAAGAAAATAACTTGGAATAGCAGGTCATTAACCGGTCAGGGACCAGCGAATGAAGATGGGGTGCAAAGGTTAGATTATTCTTGAATAACAAAAAGGTGGGACTATTGTAAAGAGATTGCTAAAAGGCTGGATTATTAGTTGTTCACTGTAATATGTGCAAAACACGAGTAAATGAATGAAATTATCATTGACTTTGCCGGTTTTTGAAATTAATTTATACAACTTTCGTTCTTTTTTAATTACAACATGTTGAATTTTATATTACTAAAATGTCTACTTTGACTACATTTTATTTTTTGGTGTATTAAAACTTTATTTTTGAAAAATAGTATTAATTTCTTCTCATTTTCTATTTTCAAATTCTAATTCCTAATTTTTTCACTAATAAAAATTGAAATATATTAATGGCGATTTTCTGGAAAACGTGAAAATGGAAACATTGCAACTAAAACGAAACGGTGGAAGTGTTTGTTATCCAATTGTTTATCCACATTTTTTAAAAAAGTGCCCCCAATAACTATAATTCCTGGATCCGCCCCTACTTCGTATATATAAGGACTTATGCCTATAAAACATTCACTTACATGAACAATTTTTACTTTAGGATCTTCAACGTTAATGTTAAAGTTAACAAATCAAAGCTATGTCGTTACTCGTTAGTTCAATTGGGTGTTACTTTTGGGGATTATGTTTAACACTTATAGTATATCTTCTTTTATACATGTTAACTATAAATAATACACAAATTCACATGCCTCACAAACATGTAAAGATTATGTTTATCTATGACGGAAGTTTTAAAGTGCGTTAAAATTATAATGAATTATTACGGAATCTTATAGTTTTAGGGAAAACTTACTTTCAGGCACTAGCATGTGTGACAACCAATAATCTCAATTGCCCATGTCGTTAGTTTCTGTTAAGGCTGAATAAATCAAATGTTCATAAGGTTTAATTAATTAGTCAAGCTTACTTTCATTGCCCTAGAATTTCCTCACTTTTGTATCCTAAGGGTTGCTAGCTTTACCAACGGATACCAAGAACCCCATTTGATTGATATTGAATATTCAATCTTCTATACGATTATATAAAGATGCTTACTTGAATCATTATATCCTTGTTTCATCTCTTTGTCCGTTTGTTGGAGAAGCCGTTGTTTTTATGTACTCTTAAGCTACCCTTTATTTTTCCTATGGATTTACAGATCTAGTCCGTAACTTAATTTAGGTTAAGGTTGTATTTGTATTTGTATTTGTACTGCTTCTTTAACTAACTTAATTGGAGATTCGATCTTATCACTTGTAAATTTGTCCATATTAAGGTTTTTGCACCCAAAAGTATATTCGGACCCCAGTTTTTATAGGAGTGTATACTTTTCAGTGGAAAAATTCTTTAGGCCAACATATTTATTCGTTAGGATGTTTTTAATTCAACAAAAATTTATAGTTTGAACTGGCCAACTTTGGTCTGGTAAATGTTTTATCTGTGTATTTTAAAACTATCCAAGTCTGATTTGGTCTGGTCTAGTTCGAGAATGAAAACAGTCTAAATAAAAACAGACAATATTTATAAGAGAATAAAGTTACATGACTAATAAATGACACAACCAAAGTTTTTTTTCCATATCCTTCTAAACCTATTATAGTATCTGCTCCAGTTAATGTCATCATCCTTAACCAGGATGGGATGCGAACCCGTGACCTCCTCTTTGGGAGATCAACGGTGATGCCATCAGACCACAAGGTACTTGGTGCCGCAACCAAAGTTAGAGAATAAAAATTGCAGATCCCTCTACATGCATTCATTGTTAATATTGACAACTAATTTCAACTTTACTATAAGCATTTATTTTCAAACTCTGTTTTGAAATTCAAATGTGTACTACGTATTATTCTTGTAATTAACTAATAAACTAAATAAAGTAAATTATTGAAAATGCAGGAAGAAGGATGGGTGGTATGTAGAGCATTCAAGAAAAGGATCACCGGTCAAATAGCTAAGAGCAACGAAGGTTGGGAGTCCAACTACTGCTTGTTGTACGATCATGAACACAACATCATTAACAATTTCATGGGAATTGGGAACACCTCTTCTAATAATAATAACCACAATAATTTTATGGCTCAAACATTATTTATGTGCAAGCAAGAACTCGAGGCGGCGGCCACCGCGGCCGCCGCGTCATCGTCGGAAACGACCGCGAATTTCTCGCAACACCATTCAGAGAACAACCACCTATTCAATCAGCTCCCGCAGCTTCAAAGCCCATCCCTCCCACTGCTCAACAAATACCCCACCGCCGCCGCCGCCGCCAGCTCATCCGCCACCGCCTCTCCGCCGCCTCCCCTCCAAGAAAACAAGAAAGTAACGGATTGGAGGACGCTGGACAAGTTTGTGGCCTCCCAGTTGAGCCATGACGATGATAATCTGAAGGAAAAGAGCTTTACTAAAAGTTGTAGTTGTGAAGAAGACATGGATTTGTTATTGCAGAACGCCGAGAGGGAAGAGGGAGGCGCCGGCGCCGGCGCCGGAAACAAGTTGAGTGAGTACTTCTTGAGTACTTCTGGAAGCTCATCAAATCTTCATGAGGACAATATTGGTATTTTTATATTTGACCGATAGATAATTAATGATAAGGAATTGATGAAATTAATTATTTGATGAGGTAGTACATACTTACGTACGTATATATTTATAATGCATGGGAAAATTAAAAAGATCGCGTGAGGCTAGATTTATTTGAGCTTCATGCAGTCAGTCTAACACGTACGTACGTATGTACTGATCAGATTTTATGATGTTTACATAGATATATACATATATGGAAGGGTGTGGGTGGGTATATATAAATATATTGATGATATATATATGTGAAATATATATACATGACTACATGAGAATCTCACTACTTGTATCATATATAGAAGTTCAATATGTACTATCGTATTTTCTCTTTTTAAAGAGTGTTAATTATAGCAATTGATGTAATTTATTAAGAAGCACAATTAAAAATAAAGACATGGTGTATTGGTGTACTACAAAGAAGGGGAATGTGTTATTAATACAGATCTCAAGAAAATTATACGTAGTATTTGACCGGCGAGTTTAAAAAATGGGATGCATATATTTTAATGATTTTGAAATGAGATGTAAATTCTAATATGACGCAAAGTCAAATTTGATAGAGATAATTTATACTAATGATTATTATGAACTATTTCTATCAAAATTTTCCCAAAAAAATCCAATATAACTATTGAAGTTCACACATTCTTATTTTAAGAGATAAAATATAAGAGTTGAACCAAAAACATGTTTGCAAAGTAAAATTTTCCCAAAAAATAACTATTCGATCAGGTTTAATAAATTGTACGTAGCTTTCTCTAAATTAATATTTTCATCCAAACACTACTCGAGCAAACATGTATGTTTGGAGTAATATTTTAAGTGGTATTATATGCGGAGTAATATACTTGAAATTAAAGACCATACGAAGTAAAACTCATCACAGAATATTTAATAAGCAAAGAAACCATTTATTTTTGGAATAATGCCACCTAATTTCACTTAATCAATACCCACTCTACAACAATATGGATGGTAGTCACATGAAATAATTTTCAAACATTTTCACTTTGGTGTATAATAAGTGCCTTTCAAATTACATTTTATGAATTTATATCTTAAGATTAAATAAAAAAGACTGTACCTTGAAAAATACTAAGGAACACATTTAATTTAATCGCAATTCAAACAATCCTTCACAAATGCATATGTGTTGACTCAACTTTTATCGACACAACATGCATTTGAATAGGGCATGTCTTCTAGTTTGAATCAACTTCTAAACTTTTACCCTTAACCGTACTCGAAATCTATATCGTCAGAGTTAACAAAGTTTATGGCGTGAACATGAACTATAAGTATGGTGGTGTAAGATAAAAGCAACATGTACATTAATGATAATGACAATGACAATGATTTATAGGGTAGACACTCAGGGTGTAAGATAAAAGCAACAATGACATCAATGCACATTTGACATCTCCAAATGTGCATTGTTAACACCCTTATGTTAAACTAAGTCATTTCACTAATCAACATCGATCTCTCAGGTTTATCAAGCATTGAACACCCATATATAAAATATTTTAATGAGATGCAAAATTCACTCTATGGGCTATTTGTATCAAATTGAGCCTACTTTGTGGAATTCAAATATCAATGATGAATATTTATTGTGTTCTAATACATTCCTAAATTCAGTTCTATCATGATATAAATCAAGTCATTTATTAAGAGTCTATTGTATTATCTTTGGATCTACCAAAATCAACCGAAAACACTCATTGAGGCACAAATTTCCTATTAGTTTTTTTAAAAGAATAAAAACTTATTTATAAATAATTAAAGTAACAAGAGGTAAAGCATTACAATAGCTCAAGACTACACTGAGATGAGACATATAATCGATTAGGCTCCAAAGACCAATCATATTAACAACACCTGCTAAACTTGTTACTAAAATGGGAGGTAACTAAAGAAGACTTCTTTAAATAATAAAAGTAACAAAATAATTCAAGCATCTCGGTTTTATCAGCCGCAAGGAAGGGAGAAGAGGGTTGTCCATCCACCTCCAATGAAAGCATCCCGACTTTACCAGCCATCGAGAAGAGAGAAGAGGTTTAACCAGCCACCCCCAAAGGAATCATCTTGTTTACGGTACCTAACAGTATTTTAGGCGGTGCTGTTCCGGGAGCACCGTCGCCTTGCTGTTTTTTTTATCCCTCACCATCAACCTCCTCGATTGACATCCTTTCATATGCCTGATTTAAGCTCTCCATTAATGGCAACCAAAATGAAACCCAAATATGAGATAGAGAAGAAGAAGCAATGTAATTCACGATCAAAAGCTCAAACACGTTCACAATTAGAACGGACAAAACCCTCGGCCAGAGAAACTTCAGCTAAGGTTGACAATTGTGACCAGTCTGATAGATATCCGTACCGAACCGTCCCAGTCAAAACGGGAAAGCCGCATTGACCGGATAACGGGTACGAGGTGGTGAATACCCATTTTGTTTTTATGGGCGGGAAAATCAATACATTCTTTTCTTTAACCCTTGGCAACTAATTTAGCGTTATATCAATGATTTATTGATCCCATATGGTTTTATGTTCTTCTTAAAAATTGATTTGCATCCAATATATTGCGCCCAAGAGAAAGATCAATGAGCTACCCATTTGCATCCAAAAAACCACCTCTTTCTTTTTAAACATAAGGTGCGGTTCCTGAAAGAAATCTAAAAGTAAACAAGATTCACATTATATACAAATATCATTGAATAACAAATTTTAATAGAAAGATATATTATTCTTTACATTATTACTCCCTAAAAAGTAATTGAGTCAACCACTAGAAAACTTAACTCACGACATATGCTAGACCATCTACTATCCTCCGTTCTCTATAGGTTGCAATAGTTTGACTTTCACATTTGCCAACACACAACTTTGACTGTAATTATATTTATTGTGTATTAGTAAACATAAAAAAGTTAATATTTTTGAAAATTTATGATATTCGTGTAATTTCCGATTGTATGTTTGTATTTTTAACTAGTTTTTATTAGTTGTAGTTGTGGAAATTACACACTTTTGGTGTAATATTTTATTTTCATTTTTATTTGTAATTTGTTTAGATTAGGATTATTCTGAGCTAAACAGGTCAAAGATCATCGAAGGGATCAAGATTGGACCTTAAAAGATCAAGGAAAGTGCAAGGAGACAAGAAAGATTTCGATTTGGAAAAAATACTCATGTACCCCGGTCGGGTATTGCCTATACCCGATCGGGTATTCACTTGATTCGATTGTCCAAATCAAATCCGGGAACAAATGATCGTGGGAGCAAATTTTCGTGAAGATTTGTCACATACCCGATCGGGTATGCCGACATACCCGATCGGGTATGCCCAGAAAAGTGACTTTCTGGGCAATTTCCTAAGATACCCGATCGGGTATCCTATATACCCGATCGGGTATCAGACCCTGCAGCTCCCAAAAGCCTATAAATACACCCCTTTCCTTCACAATAAAATCACCAATTCACATTTACTTTTTAGCTCAGTTTAGATTAATGTTTTCTTTATATTTTCCATCATGTTTAGTCTCCAAATGAGGAGCTAAACTCTTCCATCTTGGTTTTGCTACTTTGAAGCTTAATGAATTTGTAAGTTGTGAGTTATTCTCTTTAATCTTCTTCCTTGAATATTACTTCTTCCTTTAAATACTATTTCTATATCAATGTTGGGGAGTGTTACTAAGATGACAATTAGTTAACATCTTGACATTAGTTATAGTAATAGCTATTTCTTCCTCTATGTTAATATTGGGGAGTGTTACTAAGATGACAATTAGTTAACATCTTGATATTAACTATAGTAGGATTCATCTTCTTTAATATTCTTCCTTGAGTATTAATTAATTCCTATTCATATTTCATATTAATATTTTGAACATTACTTAAGGGATCAACTAGTTTTGTTTCATATATTAATTATTACTAGAAGCAATCGGTTAATACGCTTGTTATTAATTCGGTTCTTTCAATGGTAGTAAATTTAGGTTGTTAATCCATGCTTCTCATGATTAATAAGCCAAGGGGAATCAATTATATTGATTAAACCAATAAACCGCTTGTGTTGAGGTTATCAATCTCAATCATTTTCATTTTAAATTTATTGCTACTATCAAGTTAATATACGGCGCTTGTTCTATATTGACTCGATAGTAAGTTTTATTAATGAACGCATCTCGTTATTAATAACTACCCTCGATGAACTGGATATACTCCTCGATTGAGTATTCGAGAGGAAGATAGTTAAAGATATAACCGGGATCGACGAACATTTCATTAAGTGGATAAAAGCAAAGCCAAGTCTTCTTCTCATTAATTAAACCACATAACTCGTTCATCTTCGTGCTTAAATATAATTTAAGTTCATCAACCAAATATAAAACCCCCCCTGTTATTACTTATTTATTTATATAAAAAGAAGAGTGTTCATTTCCCTGTGGATACGAACCTTACTACACTATACTACGTATTAGTGTCGTATTGTATTATTATTTTGAGTGCACATCACGACAAAGTGCACGTCAATTTACACTAATAAAAATTTAATAACATTTTATACATAATATTTTGATTATATATATTATTAGAAAATCGTAGTCAGAGTAAGGTATGTGAATATTTCAAAATCTCAATGATGTAACTTTTAAAGAATGGATGAAGTATATTAGATGAGGCGTCTCTATTTGATGTTATCCCACTAGTGGAGTGTAGGAAAATCACATCAAACACATAGTTAACTCAAATCAAAATCCTACTCTATGGTTACCAAATTAGAATTATTTTATATGTAGTAACGTAACGAATGCCGACGTTCTTTGAGTAGTAACATAACGAATTAAAGGTTTACCTATGTTTCAACTCTTATTTGATATCTACCTTCAAGATTTCTAGTTTTGGTTCAACTTCTTTTTTAATCTAGAGTTTTTGTCTGCTTCACGTGAGCGTGAAATGTGTTCTCCTAGCGATGTCTAAGTGTTGTGTGTTTCTCGTTGGTGTAATCAATCGAGTTTTGAATTTTCGTTGTTCGTGTTTGGTAAAGGATGTTCAAAGGAGTGTTTTCTGAGGCCTTACTTGCCCCCCCCCCCCCCCCCAACCATTGCCTCGCTTTGAGAGAGCTCAACTGGATCTCTTTTTCGGTGGCTGGTCAAACTGGTGGTTTAGATAAT